TGGCGCTGCATGACACAAGTGCACGTACACACATAAAAAATATATATATATATATATATATATATATATCACGCCTGTGTTTAGGTTCAGGTGACTGCAAGTGCTCATGGAAGTCAGAGGTGTTACATGACCAGGCTGGAGTTACATGTGACTGTGAACCACCCCAAACACGGGTGCTAGGAGTCAAATCCATGCCCTCCATAAGAGCGGAATGTGATCTTAACTGCTGGGCCATCTCTCAGAATCCCATATGTAAATTTTTATCCAACCAAGTAGCTAAAGAAAGTTTATCTTCATAAATTAAAGGTAAAATAATGTGCTCTAAAAAAGGGGGAAAGATGGGAAAAGATGAAATATTATATTTATCTTTTGAATGACAAAACCATCAAGTAATATAGAAGTCTATTGTGCAACTTCAACATCTTTCAACAACTCTACAATACACTCTGCAGTCAAGCAACATAATGATAAAGGCCTGTAGAAGCAGCTCCTTATTTATTTTCCTGAGCTGTTAAATGTCCCCTTTACCTTTTGTCAATATACAGTATGTGAAAGAAATCAATGAATTACAATTACATTTCTGGTTGTTACTTTCTGAGAGAGGATGCCACCATATAATCCAGGCTGGCTACAAACTCATGATCCTCCTTCCTCTACCTCCCAAAGTCTGGGATTACAGCAGTGCACCAACACACTTAGAGCTGCACTTTAGAAATAATTCTTATCGTTCATACACACAACTTATATGTGACCAGTAGCAGTGTAAAGTACTAAGTCTTTCATCTCTCTCATGCTTTCATTAAACAAACTTTAAAAATCATTAACAGAAACTTGATGAAGGAATTAATCTTATTAAAGAAAAGCTTTCTCACAAAAACATAAAAAGAAAGTAAATTTAAAATTATCTTTTAAAATTTCATTTTACAATTTACTTAAAGGTATTCCTCTATATTATTATTTTAGGAAAACAAATTGCAGCTTTTGATTGTATATCACCTTCACAAAGTATGAGAGACAAAGGAAAAAGAAGAAAGCATGTTTATGCATAGTCGCACACAGAGAATTCCACATCTGGACAGAGAATCAAAAATATTGAAATTAAAAATTGATTAAAAAGCTAGATGTGGTGGCACACACCTTTAAACCCAGCACATGGGAGGCAAGCAGATCACTGTGAGATCAAGGTCAGCTTGATCTGCAGGGAGATCCTGCCTCAAAAAGACAAAAAAAAGAAAAAAAAAAGAAAAGAAATCTAACAGAAAAAAAAAACAAAGCCTATGAGGAGATAATACCTTAACAAAGGAGAGCCTGGCATGGTGGCACACGCCTTTAATCCCAGCACTCGGGAGGCTGCGGGAAGCAGAGGCAGACAGATCTCTGTGAGTTCAAGGTCAGCCTAGTCTACATAGTGAGTTTCAGGCCAGCT